AAGAAATATAAAATAACAACCTTATTATTGCCTCTAGGGCATATTTCCTTCACACGTGTCGAACCCATCCAGAGTGCGCTGCCGGACTCGTGTGTGCGGACTCACGCTAACGCCTTCTCCCTTCTTGTTGCTGCCCCACCGCCGGCTTCCACCATGACGGTCAAGGAGTAGGAGGGGCTGGTGCGGGCCATCATGGAGTACTCCGAGAGGGAGTACAAACGGAGCAAGAAGACGCAATGGGTGGGTCTTGAGGAGATGCTGGCGCTCTCGGCCGCCGGTGATGTCTATGTGCCGGAGCTGGACGTTAAGGAGGTGAAGGAGGAGGTGATGGAGGAGGCCATGGAGGACCGGCCGCCCACCCCGGTGTGGAACGAGGCGCTGTACGGGCAGTTATGGTCGTGGATGACCACAGTGCCATGCAGCCCACCGTCATCGCCGCCACTGCGGGCGGTGTGGACGTCGTGGTCACCACCACCGCCGTCGCAACCTGCCTAGGACGTTGGGCCCTTTTTGGGGCCGCCACCCCACCTCTGGACATCGGCTCCGTACATCGACCTGAACAAGGACGACGACGGCGGCTGAAGACAACGGTGACATTGGCGGCGCGGCAGGCGGCAGGTCTACTGTTTTTATTTTATTTTTTAAATTTGAACCTAAGTACTATGTGTGAGCTGTGACGAAGACGTGGATTGTTTAATTAAGTTTTATGTTTTAAGCTATTTGCAATGCCTATTTTGTTTTTCTTTCAGATGCAGTGCCTTTTTTGGGAGTTTTTTTGTCGAACACGGACGATGTTTAGGATGTGACCACGTGTTCGGTACGGGCGGCCCAAACCGGACATGGGCGTCCCTTTTACTCACCCAAACGGATGAAATCCAAATGAAACAGATGTTTGTTTGAGATCGTGCGTCGGAGATGGCCTGAGCAACGTCATCAGCGGCGGCGGAGGTCGGACAGAGAGCATTGGATGCGGCACTGCTCGACGGTGCCGAGAGGTCGCCATGTTGGTGTAAGCTACTCCCACCATTCCCCTTACTATGCCCCAATCATAGGTTTCCCTACAATTTTAATTATTTTTTTTGATTTAAGGGGTTGCCTTGTAGAAAAGCACTTTTACCATGCACGAGAGATGAGGATGCATGCAAAATAGCCAATAGTATTTGCGAAAAGTCACAGGAGCGGACGAGCTCGCACGCTCTCGGAATCGCTGGCCACTCGTTCACATCGAGATATGGCTGCGTTAGGAATTGTTGGCCTTATTATATTTGAGCCGCATGGGTTGATGGGAGCTAGGTGCATAATGGACGGACGTTTGCTGGAAGTGGAGACGAGGTCCAGGACCGATCTGTGCCATTGTTATGCTTCACACCCCATACCCCATACTCTACGTAACGGACAGACATGTGCACGTCGGCAGATGGGGGGCTCGGCCACACCGTAATCACTCATTTTATTGAGATATTTTAAGATGATCCCGCTGGCAAGAGGAAGAATCAATTAAATTAATTGCTAGAGGTCTCCTTGTTTACATATGTGATTTACTAGCTGTTTTTTTTTGCCATGATTAAATTCTTTTGATTCTACTTGGTAGATTATATATGCCACCACTTCCCCACCCTGTAGTTATTGAACATGTGGCAAATTTCCCTTCGGTAGCATGGCAAATTTATTAATTTGCCATGTTTTTGAGAAAAAAATCATACTTTTATCATGTGCCCATTAAAATTCCTAAATTTGCCATCTTTTCAAAAGAACAAAAATCCTAAAATTGCTACGCGTATTAAACCCCCCCTGCCCTTAAGTTGCCATAATTTAGGGAATGATTTTTCCTAAGTTTTCCATGATCTATGGAACATTTTCTCTTAAAAAGGACAATTGTAAGTCACGTGTTTCTCGTACAACACCATGGCGATTTTGATGCTTTAAATTCTTTTTGTATTTTTTACCACAGCAAATTCATTGTTATATCACGGCAAAATTATTGACCTTGTCTTTTGGCAACAAAACAAATTGTGTGTAGCATGGAAAAAATCTTCCTGTCAAATTTTGGACGCATAAAAAGGAAACAAAACACATCGCAAATTTTTTTACCATGGGAAATATCATGTTGGACCATGGCAAATTTATGGTCGCAGCCATGGGGATTTACCTTTTCTGGTCTGTGCGAAGATTTACACCAATTTGCAAAGTCAACTTCGAGACATGACAAATTGCAGTGTTGGACCATGGCTAGTTTCGGAGTATGGCAACAAAATTCTTGTCAAAGTTTAGACGCACAAGAAACCTAACATAGAATTTTTAGCATGGCAACACTTTTAACATAAGAAATCGCATTGCTAGACCATTGCGAGAGAAAAAATCAGATCTGCGGCAAATTTATTTTTAAAGCCATGGAAATTTACCTTTTTCTTGACCATAATAAGTTTACCTCCATTTCACGAATTCAAACTTTTGAGCGATGGCAAATTGTGTTGCTGGTCCATGGCTAGTTTTACATCAATGGCAAAAAAAATCAAAATGTAAGAAAACATATTTTACCATGACAAATTGCATCGCTAGACCATGGAAATTTATTTTCAGAGCTATGGCAATTTATATCTTCCTGGACCACGACAAGTATTGCATCCATTTGCAAATTCAAACTTTCGATCCATGGCAATTGCAATGCCGGACCATGCTACTTTTACATGCACGGTTTTTTTAGACATGTCAAATCGTTGCTTCATATGGCAACATACGTGAATATTTTGAAAAACATTCGTCATGTATTTCAGAAAAAAGATGTCACTCATAAAAAATATTCATCGTATATTTAAAATGTTCATCACGTAATTTAAAAATTCATTGTGCATTAACACTTTTTACATTTACATGAACATTTTTTAAATTGCGTCAACACTTTTTAAAAGGTGTTCGTCACACATTAGACAACCGTTTATCGTGTATTTAGAAAATGTTGATTGTGCGTTTAAAATGTGTTCATCACAAATTAGACAACCATTCATCATGTATTTAGAAAAATATTTATAGTGCGTTTGAAAGTGTTCATAGTGTAATTCAAAAACATTTACCATTCACTGAAAAGTTTTCATTGTGTAAGATGAAGGCAACAAAAATGAATGAAATCTAGCATGTCTAATCCCCTGTTCTCCCTCTCAAACCTCCGCTACGGCACGGGCTGAAGGGCACCAGTGGCCAGTCCACTGGACAGGAATACCCTCAAATCGCCGAAATCACTAGTTAAGGAGTACTCGTTGCGAAGTTCATTCCAATTCCCCAGGTTGCGACAAGCGGCGCATACAGGTTGCGACGAGTGGCGCGTTGCATGTGCGCCGCTTGTCGCAACCTATGAGTTTTCCCTTTTTTTGGATATCCGTTTATTGAAAACATTTTATCTCTTAAACCGTGCGTCCAAATCTCGAACCACTTTCGCCGTTGGATTCCTCGCGTCGAGATCTTCAAAATTAGATCCCATGTTGATAGTTTTGACGAAATTTTTTCACGAAAAAAACCAGATGAAAAAACCGAACCGGAATCACGGATTTTTCCCTTTCCGGAAGAGGCACGCCCGTGCCTCTGACGAAATCACAACCGTGCCTCTCGCGGAAGCAACACCGTGACTCCCGCGAAAAAAAGAAAAACAGAAAACACGTTTTTTTTCATTTCGGAGGAGGCACGGTCGTGACTCTCGCGAAAGCACAACCGTGCCTCTCGCGGAAGCAAAACCATGACTCTCACGAAAGAAAAAAAATAGAAAACATGTTTTTTTTCGTTTCCAAGAGGCACGGCCGTGACTCTCGCGAAAGCATAACCGTGCCTCTCGCGGAAGCAAAACCGTGACTCTCGCGAAAGAACAAAAACAAAAAACGTGTTTTTTTTGTTTTCAAGAGGCACGGCCGTGCCTCTCGCTAAAGCACAACCGTGCCTCTCGCGGAAACAAAGCCGTGACTCTCGCGAAAGGAAAAAAATAATAAAAAAACACATTCTTTTGCGCAAATTTTTTTCCCTGATTTTTTTTTTGTCGAAAAGTTAGGAAAGACCGATGGAAAACCTAAACGTCGAAAACCCCCAAAAAACCGTTTAAAAAGGCAAAAATGCATACGGAAAAATAAAAAAATAAAATCCGAAGGGAGCATCCAGAACGCGACATGTGGCGAATGATTGGGAGCACACAAAATGATGCTGATCGTTGCGAGGCTCCCAAAGAAGCGCTTGTTAATTAGTTGCTCTCTCAAATCGGTCCCACTTTTTTTCTCACCCCAACGGCGTTTGCGCACCACGGTTCAGGAAGGTCGGCATCCTGTTCCTACTGAACATGGACACTTTGCTATCATTCATTAGTTTTGCTATATGGGGCCAACACTGTATAGCTGTATGTGGACTATTTTAGTCCGCTATCAATTAATGCCACGTCCGGCAACGAGCAGGAGCACGCGAGCTCGTCCGCGCTTTGGCCGTTCTCGTACTATTTGTTATTCCCTAAATAATGTAGTACTGTATTCTGTCAATCCATCAATCAACTTTCGGAACTACTGAGCAGCCGACACCCATGGCCGAACATTCGATGCTTTGATCCAGCGGCCGGCCTCCACTTTGTGCCATGCATGTACGGTCAGATCAGTAGCATCGTCCAAACATCGGCTGCACACCGTCGTGTGTATAGCAATTTCTCTACATGGTTTCGCTACATCTCTCAGCAATTTCTCTGTGAGATCTGTCTCGCTACATCTCCTAGGAATTTCTGTGTGAGATCTGTCTCGTTGCATCTCCTAGCAATTTCACTGTAAGATCTAAATCCATTTTGACCTCGGATTTCGAATTTCACCCATTAAAAAGACTCATTTTTTCTTCTTCTTTCCGACTGAGACGGCTACTAATTCCAGCCTGCACTGGGTTCGATCCGATTCCTAGTCTCAGTCACCGTGCTTACATATTCGCGACCGCTACTCGTTCAAGTTCTAATCAGTGTTTTCCTTGCTAAGGATCTGAAGGGCACAAACATGGCAGTGCGCAACAAGAGCAGCGAGAAGATCAACACTGATAGGGCGCTCAGTAAGACGGGGTTCAGGTCAGACAAGAGGTTGTGCAGGCCAGCCCTCCCTGAGATGCCAGATGAGCTTGTTTTGGAGATCCTCCTCCGTCTCCCAGTGAAATCACTCCTGAAGTTCAAGTGTGTATGCAAGGACTGGCACGCCATCATCTCAGGCCCATCCTTCATCCGGATGCACCTTGAGCGCTCCGTGTCCAACCAGCAGCGGCAATCCTGCTACCTCATCACCCCGCATTTGCTGGATTATGCCAGTGATGATTTATGGCCAGATACATTCTCAAACAACATCCGCTTCTACAGATGGCAGCACGGGAGTTGTCAATCCAGCGCCAGTCTAGTGTATGCAAGGAACTTTCAAAGGGAGTTTGGATCAGTCTACAGGTTTGCACATTGCGACGGCCTTGTGCTGCTGCCCACGGACAACAAGATGTATGTTCTCAACCCCGCCACAAGGGACCTGCTTGCTTTGCCCGACAGCCCCCGGCGTATGCTCGAGCCATCCTCCTTCTACCGCGGGAATGTTGGTTTCGGACGCGACCCTCGCACGAACAAGTACAAGGTGGTTCAGTGCTTCCGCCATTCCACGGACAATGGCCTGGGGGGCTACAGCACTGGAATGGAGGTTTTCACAATAGGAAGCAGCGGTTCTGCGGCATGGAGGGCCGCCGTGCCGCCGTACCCCGTTGGTAATTGGAGAAACGCGACTTTCTTCAAGGGGTCTCTGTTCTGGATCCTCCGCAAGCTCCGTCAGAGGGAGCCCCCGGAGACCCGTCTGCTTCGGTTCTGCCTGCAGGCTGAAACGTTTAGCTTCACCCCGCACCCTCCCTGCCCTGCACTTGACCACCAAAACTTTGCCATGAGTGAACTAGGTGGTGAACTGTGCCTTGCTCAATATGAATCTTCAGATCAGATTGTGATCTGGATGGCAAGCGATGGTGAGGATCCGAAATGGAACCGGCGATACGTCGTTGATGTGGAGCCATGCGTCACAATAGCTATTTCGCAGTCTGGACTTCTTTTGAAGAGAGTGAACCGTATGATCTCACGGTACAACTTCCAGAATCAGAGCGTGGAGGATGTGGCTGGGTTGGAAGCTCTGAGGTACCATGGACCCGGGGCGCGTACTGTGGAGTACAAGGGAGCAAACTTGTTCTTCTTCGATATGATTCCGTACACAGAAAGTCTCATTCCCCTACACCATGCAAGATGAAGTGCGACACTGAATTTATCTTGTGTATTATCCTCTCTTTTTTTTCAAACATGTATGAATGGAAGTATTATCCTCTCTTTTTTTTCAAACATGTATGAATGGAAGTATTATCCTCTCTTTTTTTTCAAACATGTATGAATGGAAGTTGTATTTGAGCCACTGCGCACTAGTGGCAAATCCCTGGCTGAATAAATGTTTGAGCGGCATATTACTTCTATTTACCTATGCTCATATTGATGTCCATTTAGAGTGGCAAAAAGCAAAATGGACAAAAACCAGTGTGGCCAGAACAACAAATTTCCCATCACAAGTCACCTTGTAGTTACTACAGGAGGTTATTATTAGCTCTGGGAGCATCGTATAAGATTGAAAAAGAAAACAAGAAAGACGTTATGGGGAAACCACAAATAATAAAATTAGTAGAACCAACCTCAACACAAGGAGTCCAGAAAACAAGCGATAATCTTGCTTATTAATATATAATATCATATTTGAGTAAAAAAAAATACATAGCCTCCTCTTCTTACAATCCAGTGCCCAGCTGGGCTTTGAATGCGCTGCAACTTCTTAAAAGTAGAAATCATGCCCACAAGACCCCTTGTGGATTGAGCATGCTTCAAGCTTAAGTGACCAGTGACCAGTTTCTCTGCTACAGGTACATGTGTCGCCATGCGTATTCTTGCCATCCAAAAATTACCATGAGTGGCCAAATTGTAAGCAACATTACCTTCGGCATCTCCGATCTTAGCATTACTGACAATATTCCTAGTCTACCACATACCACCATCATGAATTTAACAAGCTTCTCAACTAATGATGGCATGTAGAGGAGTTCTAAGGAAGAAAACACCACCATGGCCATAGTAGCAGTTCCAGAAATAACTGGGGTGATCATGATGTATATAGCCAATACGAAAGCCGTCCCCAAAGATAAGGCTCCATTGAAAGATAACCATAGGAACTGAATCCTCTCAACATAATCATCCATCCACCCGTTCCCCTCCCGAGTCGCCCCGCGCGCGACCGGGAGGAAACCCTAGCCGCGGCCGGCCGGGTCCCCCTCCCTCTTCCCCTCTCCCCTCGTCGCCGCAAGAGGGCGCGGCCAGGCGAAGCCTGGTCGTCGCCGGCGGCGGCGGGGAGTTCCTGTCCCCTCTCGCGTCGAGCTCGGGGCGGGCCGAGGCCGGCGGGTCGGGGTGCACCGCTTGACGGCGGGCGCGGCAGCG